GGGGACAAACCCAAAAGGAAAAAAAAAACAAACAAACAAACAAACAAAAAACCCACACACAAAAAACCCACCAACAAAACCGCAAACAAACAAACAAGAAACCCCACCACACCCCACCAACCCATACTGTAATAGCTATCAAAAAAAGAAAAAATACTCTGGAAAATAAACTTATTCCCAAAGTTTAAAAATATTGGAGGTAAATTATTCTTCCTTCCCTTTGTATTGTGAAAATTTGGGGAAGCAGTGCCATATTGCAGAGAAACAGAAGGAAAACAAGTTCTAACTTATTAGTGAATTAAGTTTCACGATACTTAAAATCCCCCACCTCTTCCTCACAAACTTCTGCCTTCTTTCCTTTTTTATCTTCTTTGTCCTCTTCATCCTCATCATCATCATCTGCCTGATCATCACTGTCATCATCGTCATCATCATCATAATCACTGTCCCCGCCCTTTCGTCTGCGCTTGCGGCCTGGTGTTGGTGTTTCCAAGGAGTGCTGCTCCTCTCCTATGTCACCACCTCCCGTGGCATCTCTTTTGCCAGTTTTCTTGGCATGAATGATTCTAAGCCTTGAAACACATGACAAGGGGTGAAATTATGGAGTATGTCTGTAGCAGAAACATACCTTTCTTCCTACGTGATTGAAAGTAAATAACTGAATTTTAGATCCCAATTAGCTCTTCTGTTCTAATACAATATTGCAGTTTCTCAATATTTATTGCCATTAGTCAACAAGAAAAATTCAGGTTATAAAACCCCTTAAGCCACTTATTCAGTTCTGAATAGAGTTTCTATTTCTCCCAGGTGAATTTTACTGCGTAACTGTTTAGAAGAAATGAAACACAAGAGGGATTTTGAAAAGTCAGGAAAGACAATTAGAAGAAAGAACCATTTCAACTTCTTTATCTTTTGTTTTATGCATTTAAGAATACAATCACAGAATACTGGGGGGGGGGGGGGCGGCGGCGGGGAAGGCAAGACAGAAATCCTCAGTTGGAAGTATGAAATTATTTACATTTGCATGGCAACAGCAAGGTTGGATTAAAACATTATTTTTTTCATTTCAGATTTTAATACATTTTTAATTTATTATATGTTATTTGATTTTAGTTCTTTGACTCATCTTTTTATTCTAGGACATACTTCCTGTTCTGAGAAATCTTGGCTACCTGAACTACTAGGGGGTACCTCAATCAAACTCTCACTTTCCTTTATGAAAGAAAAGGGAAACTTACATACCAGTAATTATGGTTGTAGTAGAGCTTCTTCTTCTATACAAACCCTATAAGACAAGATTCCACACAGCAAAAATTACAGTTCCACCTATCAGGGAGCTAGCAGGCAAACATGCTGAATCACAGGAGGTGTAAATAGCCAGGCCTAACCAGTCACTTATAACGCAGAGCAAAAACGCAACCGTCTTAGAAGAGATTCATAAACGTGCAGAAAAGACAAAGATTTTTGCAAGAGATGACTGGAAGAAGGTAGGATGGGAAAAGTAGAACGGTAACGACAAACACAATTACCAGTATGTAATTTTTCCTTGTCGTACTTCTCTCTCTTCCCATCCTACAAAACAATATTCCATACAGCAAGTGGCTACAAGTACGATGAGTGTTGCAGAAATACTGGCTACTGGGCACACTGACAAACGTATCAGCCTTCTAAGATGCCGATAAACAAAGCCAGTGCACAACAGCACAGATTTAAATGAAGCTGTCACTGCTCAATTGGTAGCAGCACTTTTTAAAAAGACTCTTAGCAAGAATTAACAAGGGACCTTCTGTTTGCTTGAAAACAGCTGGGCTTCAGGTTTGGTTGGGTTTTTGGGGGGGGTAGGGGTGGGGAGGGGTGAGAGGGGTGGGTGTTCTTTTTTTTAATGCAGCTGTTAATCCACTGAAGAATTTAGGAAGTTTTACACTTTTATTTTTTGCAATACAAATGGATTTTTAGCTATTTTAGCAATTAAAAATATTTTTAAATTAAAAAATTTCTCAAGCCTTCCAATGAATTTGGAAGCAAGTAACATTTTCAGGTCTGGTGCAAAAAGCCTTAGTCCCACTAAGTATCAATATTACTCAGGCTGCCACTGAGTTAAGGTTTTTTTAGGAAAAAAATTTCCTTGTTATGAGAGTAACTTCAAACCATCAAGTCCTCTTCATCCGAACTGGAAATTCCTGCCTATACACAGGAATTAACTATGAAACAAAGCCACTAGTCAATGACTGGATTGACTACTGTGTGACTGGACAATCTTAGAGACAAATTAGACCAAGATAATCTTGAAGACAACTCAATAATAAAGCTGGCAGGTGGAAGCTCAATGACCAGCAAACACCTCTTTCATATACATGAAAGAAATTAGAAGCAGCAAAAAAGGTTACTTTTGCTGGAAGCAAAAACAGAGATACAGTGCTGTCAAGCACTAAAGGTAGCCTGCATGACACTACAAATTACAAGGATGGAAATGAATCAAGGATGTTCTCCTTTAATAGCAGCGTAGGCTGCGTAGCAGCAGCAGTCTGTATCTGAAGTAGCCTAGAGACAGAAACCAATGAGAGTGTAACTTAAAAAACGCTCTGGTAATTCAAGAGCTAGCGTAATTTTCCTGCTGCTACCTAGACCTATGGCTCACTGAGAGAAGAAAACCTTCACTTACAAAACTGTTTCATCCTTCTCACTTTCATGTATATACCAAAACGACATCTGCAACTATTGAGAGAATGGTATTTAAAATATAATTGTATCTATTGAGAATTATAAAGTCTACTGGCCTACAAAAAGAGTGGGTGGCCCATCAGACAATCAGATGTGTCACCTAACCCTGCTCTAATCTAATCTGTAATGTTTACTAGATCATAAAAGGGAAATTCACTTTTTTACTTAATTTTCATGCATTCCTCGTAATTTTTGCACATAAGTAGCAGCAAAGGAAAGAAATTCTAAACATCGCACTTTTAACGTACTTCAGCTTAGGTCTCAAAAAATGAGAGTTTCACAAATCAGTATTACCACCTCCTATCCAAACTCAGGGTGTAATTTCTCCCCTCATGTAACACTGCTTTTGATATACCATCATCATTTACAGTTGAGGCGGCCTTACTGCAAATAAATTAACTTATAAGGAGTATGCCGTAATACTGGCATGTTAGAAAGAACATTGTTGCAGTGAAAAAACTTGTTCTGCAGTATTTCAAGTCTTGTAAAGAAACAGCTACTACCTAATCCTTTAAGTAGCTATATTTCATTTTTATTCCCTTTTATATTGATCAAGCTGCACAAGAGATGCCAAGGACAAAACATGTAATGGAAAAGGAGACACTGAGATTATGATTATCCAGTTAAAAAACAGCTGAATCCTCTCAGATGAGACAGTAGTCTGACTAGAATTGTGATACAGAAAGCACAAAGAAAGATGAATTTCTTGTATGAGACAGGTGCCTTCACAAAAATGGTGATGAATATCAAGATTCACATCCTAAATGTGATAGAGAAGGAATGAGATGCAACCTCTCACTGACCATCAGCCCAGCAGAAACAGTCCAGGCAGCTCCGAATTCCGTTTCCAACCATGAATCTCATACTTATCAAGGAATTTTGCTCAATATCCTTAAGAGGGGGTGGTGTGTGTGGCAGCATCCCTATAGGCTTTGATACAATGCTTCTTTTTTCCAGTTGGGATTTTAGCATTGCTTTTTTGTACCTTACACACAGAGCTTCTCTTCCCCCCGCCTTCCCCATACCCCGATACCCAGTTGAGGAGCCAATCTCATAAAAAGTGATAACATAAGCATAAAAAAAATCACGTCGTGATAACTTCTGATACAGGTAGAATCTTTCCTCATCCCACCTGCATAAACTTCAAGGCAGTCTGGACATAGTGGCATGAAGATTTACCAAAACAAACACTGGCAAGCCAGGCTGAGATGAAATAAACCCACTCCTCAGCATGTTATCCTGCCACTATACACTTCCCACACAGGATGGGCTTGTAAAGTCTGTATGCATATGAAAAGAGTACACATCTGTTGATCACATGGCGAGTAGTCAAGAAACCAGATATTCCTATGTAAAACTGTCTGGGAATAGGATGCTTAAAAACTAGACTGAGCTTTGAAATGAATGGGGAAGATAACATGCATAAGAATGAAGCCTGGAAGCAGAAAGAAAGACCAAAACAGAAGACTGAAATGGACCTATTTCTTTTCAGAAGCCCCAGAACACTGTAAGAGTTTATGAAAAACACCAACGGATGTACTAAAGAAGAAAACATTGTTTAAAATTGATCAAAGAAGGCTCCTCTAAAAAGCTTCTCAGAGTTCATCAGAAAACCAGTGGGAAATCCAAAGATTTTGAACCAAAGATAAGAGAGAAGGAATCAAGTCCAGTGAACTCAAAGACATGGAAGAACAACGTTTCTGAGCACTTGCTTGATACTTACACTGGAAAACAGGGCCAGCACTACTGGAACCTGAAATCCACACATGAAGGGAAAACACAAGAAATAGAAAAATGATTGTAGAAAGGAAGAGGGGCTTGGGAGTTCTGCATATTATGCCCACTATTTGAAAGGGAAGAAAGAGAGATCATGAGGAAAAGGGACGATCCTACATCTACAAGTACTTACAGTTTGATGGAGGGAGAGAAAGACTAAGCATTCCCTAAGGAGACAAGGACAGGTAAGGGTCCCATTCTGCTAGCGGACAGTTGGCTACATCAGACATTCAGATACACTTTTAAACAACATCCCACAGAAGGGATACAGATGAAGACAGGAAAAGGTATTTGGATTATCCTTAAAGATAAAATATATTAAGCCTGCGCAGACTGGGATCTGCAGTATTAGTAGATAATTTCTTTTTATTGGTCTAATTTTTTCCTCTACCTCCCTCTTGTCCTTCTTCTTTACTTCTTTCCTTCTTCCTTCTGAGATACATCAAAGGGAAAAAAGGGAGACATAAGATTAGAAACACAAGTACCTAAAGCGAGGACTAAGAAAGGATTCACCGTTCCTAGTAAGAGGTAAAGATGACTAAGAAAAAAAAAGAAAGTAGAATCTGGCTATATATTTTTACCCCCTGTGATTCATGAACTCTGTGCCTTCTAGCTTCCTGGTAGCTGGAGCCATTAGCTTGCTGTATGGAATTTTGTCTTGTAGAATGGGAGAACAGTGGATACAAAACTGACAACCCTTAAAAAATTCCAATTTTACCTTAAATAAACATATGAAAAAATATCTCAAAGTTCGCATTCTACATATGAACCCTAGCTATAGGGAACAATGCAACATTGACAGATGGGGAACCCTAAGGTAATGCAATATAAATTTGCAAAATTCGATTAGTAATTGTATGAAAGTCATGTCTTCTTAAAATGTCTTTCAGAATGAACATTGGTAATTATGGTAGGTCCAAATAAACTTTGATAATGTCAATAGTGATCTGACAGCTCCAGTAACATTCCAATAAAAAAATTTTTACTTTCTTCCAAAGAATAAAAAATGGACTTGACGTTGCTCCAATTCTGAGGCACACCAACCCTCTGAATGTCATGCATCTTTAATAGATTGTAGAAGACTGGTGCTGCACCATTCTAAATCCACATCCATCTGAATTAAGCAGTTCAGTTACTAACTTCTTGGTAAATCTGTAATTGCATCAGCTAATTTTGTCCTTAGAACCAATTGCCTATAGAGTACAATATCTGAGCAAATGCAAAAAAGCAATATATTATAATATTTAAAGAAATGAAACTTACTTCCGAAGTTTGCCTTCAACCATCCATTTATCTCTCCTTAAGTTTGACATATAATCAATGTTTTTATCAATTTCACTGTCAAAGATAAAATAATCCATTAACCGCCAACTTACACATTTTTTCTGACAGACGTTTATGTACAGATACTTCGTCTCAAAGAACTATCTTGGAAAAATGTTTAAAATTCAAAATGAATAATTTCAAAGCTAAGAAATTCCAATACTAGGAATGCCAACTGTATGTTGGCATACTGCTGTACCTATGTCAGGTAGTCTTTATTTACAGTATCACGTAAGCTTTCTTTCCATATTTCCAATTCAGTGTCAAGCCTCCAGATGTATTTGCCACAAGCATCTAGCCCTGCACTGAAAACAAAGTTTTCACTGCTATATCTATGGTATTCTACCTAGAATCCACGTGATCTACAAACTAACATTCATTTGTCGCTGCAGAAACTGAAGCACCAATAAAGTGCTGTCTGTGAGCCCAATTCTGAGACATCCCAGCCTCAACAATTTAGCAGGTTCTAGTTGTTTTCTATGATGAAAACCTGAAACTCAAGTTCTGAATGATCATTTCTACAAATTTGACTTAACAGTTGGTCATCAGCAATAAGATAAAGTTTCTTACTATGATGACTTTGATTAACACAGATGAACTGTCTTGCACAGTACATGCACAGCGCTTGCACTGCCCACTTCTGCTATTTTTCAACTTTGGAAAACATGAAGCGTCTCTTTCATTCTTGAACTTACACAACCCAGATTCACTGCTGCAGCACAGTATACCAAAAGCAGCAGAATCACCATGAAACAGAACAGCCCTCAGCTAGGTGATAAAAGACTTTTCCACAGTAAGTTAGTACACGGAGGTATAGGTATCCCAAAGACTGGCATTTCCTAAGTTTTTATGGCATATTGTAGGGCTTTACAATGTTGTTTAACATAGTGGTTTTTAATTATGAAATGCTGTACATTACTGACCACAAATTAAGTATTAATTTCTTAAATTACTACCATGATAAATCAGGCTTGCCAACTCAGCTTATGGTCCTAGTTAAAGTATTTGGACAAGAGAGGTATTAAGAACAGAAGGAAAAGAGGGAAAACAGAGTACTGCAGAACCCTTACATAACTCTTCTAAATCATTCCCTAGGATATCTAGTAAATTTCTTTGTCATCAACCTCATCTTTTACTCTGAAAATAGCTGGAGAAATTTTGGTGCTAGCTTTGAAAACAAGATTACAGATCAGACATAGGAAAGTTCTACTCTTCCATTGTATCAGAAGTACATAAAGATAAGAGCAGTAACATAGCAAATTTTAGCTTTCATTATAAGAACATCAAGACTCCTCCTGTAACAGTGTATACCGTATTTTTGAACTGTAACATTTATACAATTTTATTTTTACAGACTTGCTTGGGAAAAATCTTACCTTACTACACTTTTGCTGCATGCTAACTCATTGACAAGAAAAGCGAGTACTGATGCTTTCTGAGCTGGAGTATGTGCCTGAAAAGCTGTTGTCTTCAAGCTCTCTGTCAGCTCAGTTTGCCCACAGTGAGCCTCCATGAATAACTGCAGAATCTCGGACACATTATCTCGATTGATACCAACATTCAGTAAGTGCTCCCCAAGAATAGTTTTAGCCTAAAAAGAATAAAGACATTTCAAACCATCACATTTAAAAATACTATTCTTCTCTGCAAGCTATACTATTGTTTGCAAAACAGAGGGGTGGGTTTGTTTGCATTTTTACGTAAGCATTTTAATCAGGACTTTGCTTTAAAACTAATCAAATGTAAATCTTGAATAAAGTAACAAATTAGAATGTCTCTACCTCCAAGTTTTTAAGAACAGAGATACTACTAATATTCATGAAATAGGTTAAATGCAACAAGACATGGTCCAGCTGGAACTTGATGAATACTGTTTTGTACAATCACACTATGTAGAGTTCTACAGTAGAAAAGAGCTATGTTGGCTTGAAAAAGAAGGCTAAGAAGAAAGAGAATCACGAATTAAACAGTTTTGATAAAGTGACAGAGAGAGCAGACTTTGGAGAAAGAAATGGCAAGATTCAGTGAGAGCATAACATGAGGGCAAGAATGAAAGGGGAAAGAAAAAAAAAAGAGTTAGAAGACACTGCCACAGATGTGATAGTGCCCTACAAGAGGTCCAAATAAAAATGGGGGATGGCAGAGAAAATGCCCAGAAATACATCACTTCTGGAAAGTGGGAAGGCTGACAGGGCACAGAAAGTCTTTGAGTAGCATTAGAAGAGTGACATCAAAAAGAAGAATTAGGAAAGAGAATGGAAATCCAAATGAGAGAGGTGTCAAAAACGCTTTATGAAGAATACATTCATAAATATATGGTGTTTACTATGCATTATTTTTCCTCCTCTGTTTTTTACCTTGTATCCTGTAACAAGTCCTGGATCACAAACAGCTGCAGAGACAAGCTTTACAAGCAAGTCTTGTACTTCTCCCATGCTGTCCCCGATGTTTAGCAAACCCTCTTGCAGAACGCTCAGGGAAGGGACATCCACATTCACATCAAAGCCAAGAACTTTACCAAAGTTACACAAGAACTGCACTACCATGAGACAATCTGAAAATGTGCTTCCATTGAGAACAAGGCCTGGGATGCGAGGCAACTCTGGCAAAGGCTGAAAAGTAAAGAAAAACAACGAAAGATTGAGCATTGTATTTCAAAAGAAAACTCTTTTTTTGATACTCGCTAGAGAAATTGGCTGATAGTTCCATACGACCTACAGCAATCACCAATGCTATAGAGAAGCTGCCCTCCGCCTCGTCCCACCCAATTTAATTTAAAGCTGAAGCACATTTACCTTTTGATATATTACAGGAGGCAAGAGATTAACAATTTTTGGCAAGAAGATGCTCTCAGGCTCTATTCTGAGCCAAAATATTATAAAAAGGTAGTGTAAAAATATTTGGGGTACATAGGGGGGCGGAATTCTCTGGAACAAAGAGGTCTTGAACCTGAGGTATGTCAAGTCCTGAAGGACAAGAACTAAACACAGAAGACTGGGAGAGTAACTTTTTTGAGCAACAGCTTAGAATACTTGCTCATAAGAGAAAAGCTGTATCTAGTGCCTATGTACTTAGACATGATGTACGTTCCTGCTATAAAAAATAACTCAGAGTAAGTGATTTTTTTTTCAAGCAATCATGCAAGTGCTTTTTAGGAAGCAGGCCACTTTTAAACAAAATGCTTTTAATTACCTAAACATATGCTGTGTTAGTGTTTCAAATATTTATCTAATTATCTAGACTAAAACCTGAATGCTTTGGGAGTGGCTGCAAGAAAAGAAGTTATTGTCACAATGGCAAAATACAGAAACAAGAGGCAAGAAAGTAAGTTTACATTATTATGATTACCTTCTGGTCTGCTAAGCACATATCTTCGTTAGGCTTCTTTAGCTCCTTTGCCATTTCTAACTCCAATCTTCTCTGCTCCAGTTTACGTTCTTTATTTAATCTTTTTTCATCGCGTTTCTCTTGCTTCAACCGCTCCTTTTCCTTAAGTAGGATTAAAAGAGCAGAAAATAAAACCCATATATTACACTTACAATGGAATAATCTAAAAATTTGAAAAGCACTACTTACATAATCTTAATAATTACCACAGCAATTAAGGAACCTGCATTCAAGGGAAGGGGGAAACTACAGTAGAACTGTAATTCTAAATTGAATTTGTGAGCAAACGAAAGACTCACTTTTTTCCTCTCCTGTCCACATGGAAATGGGCATTGAGTATGTTTATACTGAAAGATTCTTAGCAGTACCATTTCAGAAAGATAACCAAGTGAAAATATGGTAAAGAACAGCCATACACGCAAGGCATCCGATTTTAAAGGCCCCGCTTACACACCAGTGTCATCAACATGCATCTGCTGAAGCAGAGACCACTCAAGAAAACAGCAGCTGGGAAGACCTCTCTGGATAACACACAGTTTAAAAATTCCCACATAAACTGGATATGAACAGCTTATAAAACACAACTTGTCCTTTCAACACACGTAGCTTCTGGCCTTGAACTACCACACGCTTAGCACGCAATCTGAAAACTAAACAGTCATTAATACCTCGTTCGGTGCACAAGAACACAGAGGTAATCAAGTGAGAAGCCAAGCACCTATTCTTCTTCTCTTCCAACACCCTCTCCATCGATCCCATACAGAAGGCTCTATTAACAGTCTCTCTCACCTGCCAAGACTGGCCCTGAATCTGGAGCTCTGGGTGCCTTTCCCACCCCGACTCCAGGGGTTCTGCTGTCACACGCCCCGCGCCGATCCGCTGGCCTACGCAATGCCTTACGTACCTCTGCGCAACCGATACGGGGTTGGGGCGTAAGCTTGTTTTTGTCACGACCTAAGAACCTGACACAATATAATGGTGAAGACACTATACGCGCTTTTCACCTGTGGACACAGAAGGGCTAAAGAGCCAAGCTAAGCTGGTTCATATTGTTCAGAATCCCTCCCCATTATTCTGTCAGTTTAAGAGGTCACTCCAGTCTCTTCAGTTTACTACTACCAAATTTTGCATAAATAAAGACTATGGTCTGTAACTAAGTCAGGACTCGGTTACATTTGCAGAACAGGATTTACTGCCGACTTTGCTGTATAGTTCTGTCAGGCCCCGTAAATTTTTATTCTTCCTTTTGATTCTATACTGAGTATTACTAGACCACTGGTGATAACTGTGCCTAAACACTATGACTGCACAGAGCACTTGATAACTAGTTTAGGGGGCCATGGTTAGCGGGCATGGTGGTGATGGGTTGGTAGTTGGACTTGATGATCTTAAAGATGTTTTCCAAGACTAATGATTCTGTGATTCTGTGACAATGACCTCTACTACTACAGTCTTTAGTGCATTTTAGGCAAGATAGAGTCCAAGGCTGGGCACAAAGAACACGTTTGGACCAGCAACCTTACACCAGCAGAAAAAAAGCAGTCACATACAGACCCGCTCATCTGCCCAGCTGCTGCTCTGCGGCTGTGTAAGCACCCTCTGTCCTGACAACGCAGGCCCTCCTATCTCTGATGGGCCACACTGCTTATTCATGGTTTTCTCCCTTTACCAGCATATACCTTGTATGGAAAATCACAACACACTAAAAGCAGCACACAAAATTGGTAACTTTTTGAAATGGAAAATATTCCCTGACATTGTTTTGTAATTGGTTCATTGCCTTTTATCTTAACCTGTGTCAAGGTCTCAAAGCCAACTGGCATTTCCTACAACTTGTTTTTGACACCTAGAAACATACTATGCCAGAAAAAAACCACGAGAAGTACATATGGATATTTAACTGGCAACATATTAATTTGCAGTTATGATTAGAAGTGCAAACCTTGGTGGATGAAAAGCTGTATGTGCGCTCGCAGCCCAGAAGGCCAGCTGTGTCCTGGGCTGCACCCAAAGCCACGTGGCCAGCAGGGCGAGGGAGGGGATCCTGCCCCTCTGCCCCGCTCTGGGGAGACCCCTCGGCAGGGCGGCGTCCAGCTCTGGAGCCCTCGGCACAGGAGAGACACGGACCTGCTGGAGCGGGGCCAGAGGAGGCCCCAGCAACGCTCCGAGGGCTGGAACAGCTCTGCTGGGAGGACAGGCTGGGAGAGCTGGGGGGGCTCAGCCTGGAGCAGAGAAGGCTCCGGGGAGACCTTCCTGCAGCTGCCGGGGCTGAGAGGGGCTGAGGAGAGAGGTGGGGACAGACTGTTTAGCAGGGCCTCTTGTGGTAGGACAAGGGGTGATGGTTTTAAACTAAAAGAGATCAGATTTCAACTAGACCTAAGGAAGAAATTTTTGACAACAAGGGTGGTGAACCCCTGGCCCAGGTTGCCCAGAGAGGTGGACGATGCTCCATCCCTGGAGACATCCCAGGTCAGGCTGGACGGGGCTCTGAGCAACCTGATGTAGCTGAAGATGTCCCTGCTCATGGCAGGGGCTTGGCCTAGATGATATTACCCTGTCCCAGGTGGAAAATCTGGCACTTGCTCTTGTTAAATTTTGTATGGCTGGTGATTGCCCAGCTCTCTAGTCTGTCCAGATCTCACTGTCAGGCCTCTCTACCCTTCGAGTCCGCAGCTCCTCCTAGTTTAGTACCGTTGAGTAAATTTACTTAATGTACATTCGACTCCTGCATCGGGATCATTTATAAAAACATCGAAGAGCACTGGCCCTAAAACTGAGCCCTGGGGAACTCCACTGGTGACTGGCCGCCAGCCTGATTGATGTGACCTAATTAATGTGACCTAATTAATTAGAATTCTTTGAGCCTGACCCATCAGCCAACTGTTCACCCAACGTATTATGCACTTGTCTAGTTGTACACTGGACATGTTGTCCTGAAGGATGCTGTGAGAGGCAGTACCAAAACCCTGCTTACAATTAAAAAAAAATACAAAAACCACAAACAAACAAACAAGCCCCGAAACAAAAACCACCACACATCTACTGGCTTCCCTTGGTCAACTAGATAGGTGACATTGTCATAAAAGGAAATTAAGTTGGTTAAGCAGGACTTTCCTTTCATAAACCCATGCAGGCTATGACCAATGACTGCAATGTCTCTCAGGTGGTTTTCAGTAACCCCCACAATAACCTTCTCCATAATTTTACCAGGCACTGAAGTGAGACTGACATTGTCAGTAATTACCAGGGTCTGTCTTCTTTGCCTTCTTGAAATTGGGACAACATTTGCCAGCTTCCATTTGACTGGGACTTCGCCCAATTCCCAAGACCATTGAAAAACAACGGAGAGAGGTCCCACAATAAAATAAGCAGGCTCTTTGAGTACCCTGGGATGAATCCCATTGGGCCCTAGAGCCTAATGCACATGCAGCTGGAGCACCGAGTCTCCAACATGTTCAGAGTCAGTGCGAATTTATCATCCACCCAGTCACGGTCTTCCAACATAGGGCTCCAGGGATCCCAGGGCCATCATCAGTGTTAAAGACAAAGGCAAAGAAGGTATTAAATGTCTCTACTTTTTCTACATCCCCATTTGTGAGGTGACTGACCTCATCAAGTAACAGACCAGTGTCACCTCTGATCCTCCTTTTGCTGTTAACATATTTTTAAAAGCTCTTTTTGTTGTCCTTCACACTACTAGCCAGCTTGAACTCTTAATCGAGCTTTGGCCGCAAGAATTTTCTCCCTACAACGACCAACAGCATCCCAATAGTCCTCCCATGTCACCTGTCCTTGCTTCCAATGTCCATACACCTCCCATTTTCACCTAAGTTCTAGAACAATACCCCTGCTCAGCCAAGCCAGCCTTCTGCCCCACTTGCTTGACTTCCCACACTTTGGAATTGCCTGCTGCTCCGCTCGCAATCACCATTCATGAACCCCAACACCTTCAAGAGCAGACTCCCAGGGGTCCTTACGAACTAGCTCCTTCAGCAGCCCAAAGCCTCCTCTCCCCACACCCAAGGTCAAAGTTTTGCTGGCTTTTTTCCCCTCCTATTGCCAATGATTTGACACTCACATGGTCACTGTGACGATGACAGCCACCAATCGCCACTTTGCCCACGAGACCCTCTCTGTTTACAAACAAGAAATCTAGGAGGGCACCTTTCCTAGTCAGCTTAAGTGTTAACCCTGAAATTCCTCCTTGCACTGAAGTATTATTCAATTTTTCTTTGTTTTGGTCTGTCACTTTCATTTCAATTTATGAACATAGCTAAGAGAAAAGTTTTAACAATTTCTTTGACAACTAGATGGTGTCACGATGGTTATTGTACTTAATCTCTTAGCTACCTGTACTTCATTTATAAAAGTCTCAGGATCCAGAGATTAAGTGTCTCAGGATATAGAGAAACACATAAAAATAAAATAAAGTCAGCAATTACATTTTTAGCATTGACAGTCCCCCTTAAGATAATATCAGAGTTAAAACTGAAGAAAGCCTCAGGACTAATTAAGATGTAAATTAGTTTATCATGGTCTAATAAAAGTTTCATCAATCATACTGTACAGCTCTGGTTTCATCATCAATGCGATTCCATCATGTACTTTTTTTTTTATATAATTTTTTTAAACCATCTATAATGCAACAAACACTACTGTATTATGTCAAACCAACAAAGCTAAAAAAGTTTGAGTTGTTTTAGCCAGTAACATTTAATTTACTGCAGCGTAACCTGAATAAGCAGGATGTATTCCTGTAAGACAGGCTTTTTCCCAGGCTGCCTCAGTCCACAACATAAGCACTGTTGTTACAACTGCTTCTCAAGGCAAAGCTAAAGACTTTTCCCTCACTTCCTTCTGCAACCTAATGAAACTGAGACCTCTCAACTGGTTATAAGAACAAGTTCTATTACAAAAACATTATTACATTAGCAGGGGAACTTCAGTCTTTCACGCAATAGTACGGCTAAGAGTAAAATTTAACTAGTTAAAGGCCTGATTAGGCGACTCAGTGAAAACATTTTCATGGCTTTTGGGTTAGGTTGTGCTGATATAGACTACCAGTGTTTCTTGAATACTTTTTCCCCCTCTAAGTAAATTATCTGGAGTTCCTTAACTTGTAAGGAAAGTAATCATTTGAATTATGAAAAACACTTCCATTTTGCAGCACTTCAAAAGGAAAAGTTTAATTCAGTTTCCCAACAAACACCCAGTTAATTGCATAGAATGTGTATTTAATCTTTAGCATTAATCCTCATAATAAGCAAGCGTTATTAGGTCCTTTTGTGCTAATACTAGATTTATATACATGAAAGCAGTCACCAGAATAAGAAGCATTCATCATAAGGAAAGGGCAGCTATTTTGAAAATAGTTTTACTTTCAGAAGCAAGACAGAACAAAAAATCTAGATGCTTAGACGATCAGCATCAAAAAAGGCCTGAAATTTTGGCAAGTGAAATCAACCAGGGTTTTTGTTATCAGCTTAATGTCACTGTGTCTGAAAAAGAAAACAAGTTAAATAACTAGATTCAGAGATGGACAAAGTAAAAGGACTGTACACAAAATGACACATACACACTTCGGACTTTAGGACTCTGTCTCTTGGTTCAGAATTTCTGACATTTTTTTAGTACAACAAAACAAGCAGTGAAGCATCTACTTTCTGTAGCGCAGCAGTACTTTCTGCTAAATAAGAAAAAAATAAAATTAAGGCATAATAATCCTATTTGCCTGGTTTCATCGTGGTTCAAATCCAGAATCATCTACAAAATCCGCAAGTTCTAAGCAGCCTGGACTGGAATGAGATGTATATTTTTACCCCTGGATAAGTACTGAGGAAAAGCTGGTCAGCAAGTCTGACAAGTCAGTATGATGAAGTCCTTGCTCTTCTTCTACACATGAACAGCATGAAGAAGAGGGGAGAATAAAACTTCCTGTTGGGGAAATACTAAGGACTCTGAAGTGACTATGCAATTATTGGCTTCTTGCTCAGAATCACTGAGGATGGAAGGGACCTCTTGAGATCATCCAGTCCCCATCCATGTGTGTGTCCTGTCCCCGCTATTGTCCCCCTGAGCAGTATCAGCTACGGCAGGCTGGAACTCCACAACCTTCCTGGGCAATCTGTGCCAGTGTTCAACCATCACCCTCAAAAGTAAAAAAGTTTTTCTTAAGTTTAAACAGAATTTCATGTATTTCAATTTGTACCTATTGCTTCTTTTCCTACGACTGCCACGTATACAAAAGAAATTATACATTCAGGTACATCAAAGACACTGCTCTGCTACAGATCACTGCAGAATGAAACCATAAAAACTTAAAATTTTCAGAGGTTAATACTCACTTCTGCTTTTTTACGTGCTTCCATGGCTTTCATAAGCATCATATGTTGTCTTCTCCTTTCTCGTTCCTATTGAAGCAGGTAAGATTAGAACAAAACTAATCCACATTTTCAAATCAGTAAAAAAGCTGAGTAACAAATTTAGCATTAATAGACAAGTCACAGTAAATACTAAATATAGGACAAGAATGGCCAAGTCTGTGCATGTTTTAGTTCAGGTTTAGAAAGCAAATACAAGAACAATCAAAAGCAAAAAGGTAAAGCAATGAACATGGAGACAGTGTAAAAAAGAAGCATACAAGTTTACTTATGGTCAGTTGTGATGCTCCTTCATAAGCTGGCAGAACAAAAAGCATAATGGTTGGCTGGAACAGGTCAGTTACCTTACATCTGCTATTATGGAACTTGCAATTTACTTCTTCAATAGCCAATTCAGTGGAAATTTTGAAGTGGTCATTTTCAAACATTGCAAATAGTAACGTTTTTGTAACCGAGCAACAAATCAATACGATTCATTTCCTCAGCTCTAGATCAGTTTTAATGAAGCTAGTGGTGGCGCATATACATACGCAACAACACTGGCATTTACTGATGCTTGTCCCTCAAGAAATGTCAGTAGCTTCAAATGCATTAAGGAGCTGTATTCTAGAGCATTAAGTAAGGGGGTTTTTTGCCTTAACAGCTGTAGAGTAAATCTTGGCCCCAGTAAAGGCTATGGGAATTTTATCACCTAATTCAGTGAGGCTAGGATTACATTCTAACGTTTCACTGTATACTTATATCATTATGTATTTACCACTGACTGAAAACCGATTTCCTTAGTACCTTACAAACTTAGGAAAGCCATCATCCTGATTTCTAGAATACATCAATTCAAATTGTATTTAAAATGTTTGGATTCATTCCTAGTGAATGGGACATGGCTTGCAAAAATTATCCAAGTGACTACCTATTAATTTCGCATTAATCAACCACTGATATTATAGAGTAGTCCAATCTCTATTGGGACATCAGTAACATAGATTTCTGTTTAAAAGCCTCACTTATTTATTGCCACGTTAAATTTACACACATGTTCAGGACATGTCTTTGTTTTTTTTCCTTAACAGACAAGACAAGCAGATGTATGCAATGCACTGTGCTGTAAAGCCATGCAGCAGTATGTAATATGACAGCAGCCAGTGCTACATTTTATGCATTGCTATGACAACCATATCACAACCAAATCACAATGCGGTGTTAGATGTACAAAAATAAACATACCCATACCATATCTAGTCTATGCCTCTCCAACTCCTGGTAGAAAGAGTTGGCACAACATTATGAAACAGAAATCACAAAGTCATAAAACCACTTTATAATCCCCCAAAAGACCCCAGTACCAAAGCAAAGCAACAAATCATTAGGTGAAAGAAAATTTGTGCAGGAATCAAACCCAGAAATTTTAAAAGGGCGTATTTTGAAGATTCCACCCCGCCCCCTCCAGCTTAAGCAGTACTTCACAATCGGCATTCTGTCTGTTTGGTCAACTGAATGCATACAAACCTGGTGTTTCAGAAGAACAGCTTGCTGCCTTCGCATCTCTTTTTCCTTAAACAAAGAACAGAAATGTATTTAAAATATCTACAAAAATTTATTTACCAAGTTGCACATTTTTGCCACCCTAAAACAGCACATCTGAATTAAATTCTTACTTCCCCGGCCCCCACAAACTGATCCCAGCAAAGTATACATAGTACACACGACAGCAAGTCTACGGAGTTGGGAGTTCCGTGTCAAAATACACCAAGAATGCCAAAGCAGTAATAGAAGTACATATATCAACTCTATTTTCCAATGTCTGTAAGAGTTCTGTAGTCTTGTATACATACAGTCTAGAAAAGACTACGCTTTCTGAGAAGCAACAGAAGTTTTTTGATACAGTGTGCTTAAAGGAGTATTGTGAATACTGTTACTTCACGAGCATTTTAAGTTATGCAAACCAAGTGTCATGTAAGCAAAACTCATGGTAATGGCACACAAAAGATTACTGCCTCGCTCTATATTCATGTTGGTGTGTGTTTTTGTCACACATACGCAAACTTCTCTCTGTGTATGCTCCACGTATTTACATGAATATATGTACACATGTTCTTCATACACCATTTCTATTCACAGTTTCATTATCAATGAATATTCTTCCAAATTTACTGCTCATACATCAAGATATATTATGCACAATAACACAGTTCTTGTATTCGGAGCTCCTCTAAACTAACCTTTATTCGTTTTTCGGCCTCCAATAATTTGGCATTTGCTGCTTCTTCCTTCTTCTTCTTTTTTGCCTGCGCATGCAAAACAGGTCACACAACAGCACCATCACAACTTGAAAATAATCTAACTAGAAATAAAGTTACATGCCTTTAAAAGTTCAAAACATCATCACATATCATCTACATTGCAACAGATTTCTTCCCCAATGCAGCTTTCATTATTAATCAATTTACAATCCATTTGCTTTTAAAGAATTAAGTCGGAATTCAAGTCCCATTCAAAATTCCTTCACTTGAAGGAATTATAAACAAACATGTATTATAACAAAGAAAGTAAGTATACATAGAAACAATAAAATGTAAATGGCAGAGATTACCATTATTTTTTCCATGAATGGAGACTCGGAAACTAGAAATCTATCTTTGCTAGTATACAAGCCAAATAGTATAGTGTACCAGTCTCTTCCAGCATTTTTATAAACTTAGTACTTTAAGCCCACTGTACTTCATACAGAGCAGAGCATGATACTGGTTCAACATCCTATTATTGCAATCTTGTTTTCCAACAAAGGCACAGTTATGCTGTTAATATTAGCAAATACAAGACTATTTGTGTAAAAACTCAGGAACTCAAGTGAACATTTGCAATATAGATTAATTAATATATATTATTATTATATAATAATATTTTATATATTTATTCTATATA